TTGGTCCTCATTACTGACATATTGTTGACACCTTGATAGGAGGAGTTACAACTGTGAACTTAACTCTGGGTGAAGTTAAGTTACCAGAGGAACTTTGTTTTCTGCAAAGCAGGCAGAGTGTGCTATCCACAGAGATCCTCTCTCCTTCTCAAAGTACAACCAGGATTTTGGGTTTTCGAAGTGTCATGGCCACATCAAAAATACATTAAGCACTGGATAAAAATAGCTAGAACTTTTAAATTGTTTCCTGTAACTGTATTTTTTCCCTTTTGAACTCGTATCTTCAAGAGGATAGAAATTTATGCCTGAGGCAGAGTTACTCACTGTGAACAAGGAAGCAAAAATCTTTCCACATCAGCAACAGAGTAAGCTTTGTGAAGCCTTCTGCATCATATTCCACCACACCACTATCAACAAGAAATACAAAAAAATGAATGCAATTTTTACCTAGCATTCATTTCAATACTACAAGATAAAGATGTAAATCCTCGATGACAGGGCTTGGGGGTTTTTGCTTGTTTCTTTAGAAATGTCCAGTATTTATTCTATTAACTGTTGTAATTTTCTTGCTAAATTCAGATTAATTAAACTATTAAGCTTAATAATTTTCTTATTTATACTGCTGTACTGGAGGTTTTTTTACCTGATGAATAGTCATATTCAGTTTATATAAATATATATTAGAATATAATGAGAGTTACTCATGGCATTTGCAGTAACATATTGATAATTTTACATTACACAAAAATTCCCTGTATGTTACTCATGTGAGGATAATTTCTTGTCTCTGCAGCAGAGGACATAAGGTAAAATTGAAAATGCAAAGGAGTAGACCTTAAATTTGAAAATTCAAAAGACCATATATAACAAAAGCCTCATCATAAAAGTACACAAAAGTAAAGTATGGAATACGTATTCAGTAGACAGATTAAAAGTCTCAGCCATCAGGAGATGGCATTTGCTAAAAGTGTGAAGCAACATCAGAGCTCTCAAACCGCTTCACAAGGGAAATACAAATGTGGCATAGAACAGGTACACCTGGCCACTGTAGATCAGGTCAAACAACTCTCAGAAGAAAAAGAGAATCATGTTTTTAAACAGATTACATCTCCAGGGTCTGCATCAACCTTCTATCTACTCATATGTCCTGTTCAAGTCATTGTTATCTACCTACAGTTGTATACAATTTGTGTACATGCTAAACACCTCTTTTCTACCCTCGCTTGAGAGACCTGAGACTTAAGGGGTATCTGATATTCACAGCATTTGGAATCACCAAGCAGAAGCAGAAACCAACTGCTGAAGAGGTAATCCATATCATGTTAGCTCCTGGACTCTTGCTGAAATCAGAACTCAGGAGGAAAACGGAAGTTCCTACCTTTCAGCATGGCAAGGCACCCCGATCAGTTGATCTGTGACACTAATGTGCCAGAATGTCAGGTGATGGACCTTCCGGCTACAGGAATTCAAAAGGAAATGACAGCGCTTTCTCTCAAAAGACAAGATACTGCTGAATGGTGGGAGCAGCTAGTCACTGCACTCTTGCCTTTATGCTAAGCAGCGCTTTCTGGCTCCTGCTAGGTTTGGAACTGGACCCCATTTCCCTATCCTCCCACTTCAAGCATTGCCTTTTACTGCAAGACTTCTCTAGTCATTTTTTCAGAAACAAGGACATTTCTTTTGCACAGGGATAAAACCCCTACTTATCCTTTTCCCATAATTGGCTATTTTCTGAGTAAAATCAGATTGGCAGCTGACACGTAAGTGAAGTAACACTGAGCTTCAGACCAACATTACTATAGAGAGAGAATGCATACACATCATTCTGCAAAAATGTCCAGATTTCAATTTACCCACTAGAAATCAGCTACATAACCAAAGACCATGTGCAGAAAATAACACTTTTCCCCATACACAAAATAATGCATTAAAAGAAAACTTACGTTCCAAAGTGACTCAGGAAAGCTGCGATATACTCTCTTCTCTTGTGGTATCCCTGAATAACATATTGTACCTGAAAAAAAAAAACAACAAACAAATCCAAAGCTATAAAACATTAAAAAAGCCAATGCTCCCAATTTGTCATATATTCCTTGTTAAGGAAGATTTATTTTTGACATGGCAATAATTCTGAATCCTACATTTAGCTTGCATGATTTATCCTAAAATGGCTTTAAACCAGAGAGTGGATATCTTGTACACAGAAAATCTTGCACACACAGGAATCTCTTCACTCACTTCTAACAGAAATGTAGTATTTCACAAAATACTGAAGCACTCTTTAACCATGCAAGGTAAAGAGTGAAGAAAAGAAGTACACCACGTTGTCGCAGTGAAGTTTGAGCAGGAAGCTGTGATAGCCAAAACATAATTACCTGAACTGACAGTTGGCTAAGTGTCAAAATAACATTCTGATTATTAAAAAAAAAAAAAAATTCACAGCTGTGATCTTAGGTGTGTTCTAAAGACTGCAACTCCAACAAAATCTTCTTACACTAAGCTTCCTCATTGGTTTCATGCTGAGTCAGGGAGCCACCTACTCAGTCGTGAGCACCAAGTTCTGAGGCATTCTGGGTTTCGAAAAACTTCCATCCTGGCACAGACAAAATGCAACAATGCTAAAGTTGGAAGACTTAAGGCAAAATTCTCCTTGAGCTGTGTATGTTTTCTTATTGATTTGAATGAGATTACTTAGCGGAATAGTGTGAACAGTGTTTGACCCATAACAGAAACAGCACACACGCTGCCAGGTTGAAAGAGCATCTGGCTTACAACTGGTTACTTTGAATAAGTGTAGAACGGTTCCATACTTGATTTCCTACATAAATCCCTTTGCCTTCCAGAATGAAAACTAACATTTTAAAAGCTTTTTCCCCCACTGAACATGAAAGGAACAGGAGGAATATGCATATATTATTTTTCTTGGCTATGGCAATATTAGAATTCCTTGGGTGGCAAATGCTTTCCTAAATTTTTTGGAAAAGCTTTGATACAATCATTGCTGAGAGCTATGTTGTACCCCTTAATAAGTAAAATTATTCTATTTATAAAATCAGACATTTCATTTTATAAAAACTATGATTATTTTGAAGGCTTTGTGTGGGATCTGAAAAGTTATTTTTGGAAAAGGAAAACATATGATAAGTTTGCTTAAGGGACTTTGTTTAAAAAAGGATAAAAACAGTCCTGTGTACTTGCAGATTTTAAAAACAGAAAGTAATTTTAACAGAAAACCACAACAAAAACAACTCTAAAGATAGATTCCAATATAATTACAGAAATATATTTTGAAGAACTTTTTCTGAAAGATAATTTTATTTTACTCCTTTGGACAAACAAAACTAAATATCGTATATACATACAAATATGAAGTCTATAATAGGCAGATTCCTGGATGTTGGCCCCTAAGCTTCGTACTGAAAATTATACTTAAATAACGGAGAAGCTTTCAAAATACTATATTTGCTCTTTTTTGTTGAAACATTAAGCCAACCAGAACACAACCTTTTCAGTACATGCAACGCTAAGCAGCTACTACTGCATAAACATCCAAGCAGAATGCTGATTCAGTTCATTTGGATTAAACATCCAAGACGAAAATCACTGAATCTTCTCTTAAGCTCTACAACAACGATTACGGTATGAGACCTTAGGTAGAGATCTTCCAACTGGAAAATTAATAGGTGAACTATACATTTGCATTTGCTAGCAAAACAGATGTGGGATACAATAACATTTTATCCTAAATTGTAACATGTCACAATTAGAAAACCCACTCCAGGGCGTGATACCAAACATGCTTATTTACATAAAAGATTCATTACATTCAATGGACTCTTTCGGTGCTCAACTGTTATCCAAGAAGTTATTCCTTGGGTAGTTTACCTTAAGTATACCTGGCTTGAACCACCTGCCAGAAGAAAAAGCATGTCTATGGAAATGTTATAGTCTGTTATTACAGTACAGTGCAGTACAACATGTAAGGCAAGGCAAGTTACAAACTTACCTTGTTTGTTAGTAGCTGGCATACTTGGGGTACATAGTCAATAAGACAACCTCCACCAGGAAAGGCTGGAATGTGAAGGGCAGATGATCCTCCAAGAGCACTGGAAAGAAGTTTATTTAAAAGTACATCACACATTCAGTCTCTAGGA